AAGGCTTTTTATGTGTCACATCTTCGCTGACATGTCAGTAAAATACCTATCAAGATCCCAAATCGAGAATCATAACAAACCTCAAAAAAATTCAAGACTTCCTTAGCCTGGAACCAATTTTATTCAACGGCAGACAGATTCAAAAATCCTATTCCAATTCAGATGAAGAACTCCGGGTCAAAAATCTGATTTAGCAAGACGTCAAACTATCTCCGAACTCTTTGCGAGCGCTTATACAAACATGATCCAGGTACAACTAACTGACCAAAAATGACCATTCTATACAAAACAGCAAAATTAAATGTTTCGCAAACATAAAAAGTGAGTTCAATTAGAATCACCTCCGATCCGCTGCTACTTCCTTCGTCACCGCTCTCTGGCATCACCTTATCATGTTTGCCCGGCATTGTGCCTATTTTGTATGCTGATTAACGTATCCCACAGTTTCTTGCATCCAATCTATAAAACATAATGTAACGATCAACATATTTTCATGGGTCAAAATCACGAAGAGGTAAAAATTGCCGAAAACAAATTTTAAAAGGACACGTGCATCGCATTCGTGCTGGAGCGCGCTATTGCTCATAAAATCAAATTTCAATTTTTTCTCGCGCTCTTTCGAACAGTTGCGTACCCTACAATAGATAGGCGTCCATTCATTTTGCACGCTTGCAACAGCCGACGTTGAAAACTGACGTCCAAGCTTCTATCGTCACTTCGCAGGATTGTGTGTGCCTGTCACAGCAAGCCAAACTGGAAATAAAACATACGCTTTCAGTGGCGAGCAAGCATTTTGATGGGGGAACAACAGCCAGGTCCTGCATCTGTTCCCAAGTCTGATGAATTTGTAGTTGTGAAGGAAGGAAAAGCGAAGATTGGGTTCCATGGTCCTGTTTTCTATAATCCCGTTCAAGAGTTCAATAGAGATTTGACGTGAGTTGAGTATATCTGAAATTTAAAATTGAGTTCACCGTTGCATCTGCAGAGTCTCAGTTCTGCGCCAGTTTGTGCGGTTACGCAAAGAATCTCATTCTAATGGCGCAAGGGAAGATGGTGAAGGAGAGCCGAATGCGAAGAAAATGAAGCTTAAGGATGCCAGCTCACAAAATGGTCCCATTCGAATACTGGACGCATTATCTGCTAGTGGACTACGAGCTCTGCGGTTTTCTCAGGAGGTGAGAGTTTTCGCTATCCATTTTTCGCAATTCACTGCAAGTTGTTCCTGGAGGCTTTTTCTTTTGGTTACGTTCACTGCGTTTTTACCAACCCTGAAGGATCG